GCCCAACGAGGGTAGCGAGGACAAGTGGGCTGAAGGCATCTGGGGTGATGAGGCTGACACTTGTCTAGAAGCGCCACTGTAGGCGGGCTGCTCGCTTGCAGAGGCTTGCGGAGAAGAGCGGGCGTTCAGGGTAGTGCCGTACGACAGGACAGGCTTGCTATCATAAGCGGCGGCGAAAGACAAGCTGAGAAAGCCTGCAGAAATGGAGGATGATGAGAAGAATGGGAATTTGTGCTTGTCCGGTGAGAGGCTGTCGGTGTTGTTGCAGAGTTCTCCGACGCCAGAGGGATTTTCCTACAAAGCAAATGGAAGAAATCACAATTAGGTGTGTGTTCATCAGAAAAAACACCTACTTGCAGGAAGGGTTTCAACACACTTACTTCCACATTTGTGAGTTGACATGCTTGTCCAGCATGGTGGTGAGAGCACACCGTACTTGATCCCAGCGCCGGTCCAACGCATAACATCCTCTACCGTACAATCGACTTCAAAAAGTGCAGTACTGGTGAGAGACGAAACTTGAATAGTACATTTATATGGAGTTATTCAGAATAATCTCTTCAATCATTCAGATGAAGGGCGACTCAATTAAAATGAGGCCCTGGATATTAATTTCAAACTCATTTAAGAATAGCTTAGTGATTCAAAAGCTCAAAAAAATGCAAGAGACACTTGAGTTGAGAAAAAAACCTCACTAACACTTTAAGATCACAAGGTTTCTTGTACTTACAGCAGCTGGTCGTGGGTGGTAACCTGAATAATGACAGTCCAGTTTCTCCATTGCTTCCTCCCTCTCCTCGTTTTCCCCCTCGTCACTGGAGAGGCGGCTGCTCTCAGTACTAACAGGGGCCGGGTGGAGTGGTGGGCCTGGTCGTGGGCCATGGCTGGGTCTCCTCCACTGTGAAAGTTACTGTTGTTAAGTCTGAAGATAAAGAAGAGCATCTTAATAATGACTGATCTAATGAGATCTATAAATATGACTGGAAACTTTCAACAATCTGGCTAATCAATCAAACAGGAATCTGATGTAGAGGAAATGGTGGGGCAGGAGGAAGCAACTCACCGTGGAAGCCCAGAATTATGAGGTTTGGGTTTGAGGGCAAAGGCTTGGTGGCATCAGCAGTGCCATTGCCATGGGAGACCGGGTGAGGGTCTTGTGGGAGGCGGGAGTGGGGAGGGTCCCTGAGAGGGGGTGCTGGGTGTGAGGGGTCCAACCTGAAGTGCATCTCCTTGTCACGCGCTTTGCTCTTGTGCTCAGCGAGCAGCGTGTCAAAGCGCTGCCGCCGCCCGAGCACCGCCCTCCTCTGGCTTATGGAATGTGTCTGTGGAGACATGGGGTGATATTTAACTGTTTAGTCAAGCACTTACTAATTAGGGACGTCCTAGAGATGCACTATACTGGTGCATATATACATATAGATACATATATAAATATACATACATATATATATATATATTATATATATATATATATATATATATATATATATATAATATATATATATATATATATATATATATATATATAATATATATATATATATATATATATAATGCACTATACTGGTTTTCTGAGTAGGAAGATAAAACCAGGATAATATTTGAGCTTTTTATCTGTTATATTATTACTTCTATATTGCAATATTATAGTATTATGGCAATATTCAAAGATTTTTATAAAACCAGGATAATATTTGAGCTTTTTATCTGCTATATTATTACCTCTATATTGCTATATTATAGTATTATGACAATATTCGAAGATTTTTATAAAAAACTATATAATATAATATAATACAATATAATATAATATAATTGTGTCATCTTTTGAGTGTTTTTGTGAGTGTTTTTCTCATCAGTGTTTTTGTTGTAAAAGGAGTTAGGCTAAATAAGTCTTGACTTCAGCCTAAACCCCTTCGGTCAGGTATTTATTAGCATTAAAAAAATAAAAACCCTAATGTTTTTATTTTTCTGATGTATTTCAATCATCTTTTCCTTTTCTATTTTGTTTCATTGTTTTTTATGTGTTTGTTTTATGTATTATGTAGAGGATTTTTTTTATTATAATTTTTTTTTTTTTTTGCATTACATATGATCTATGACATATGATCTCAAAATGACTGACCGGAGAAATAAATAAATACAAAAAATACAATACAATATAATATTGTACCCTATTATTTTTGCTATATTATTGATGCTATGATATTATATAATAAAATAATCTATTGTGTAATGTCTGGGTTTAATGTTTTTGGCAAGTTTAAAGTCTGGTCTAAAAAGTCTAACACATGAAGCTAATGTGGGAATTTTTTTAAATAACTGACTATTTGTGTGGGCCCAAATATCCACAGTGCATCCATAATTCCAACTCAAAACAAGTGTAAGGAGACACACCTTGCATGTTAAGGACCTTGTGCATGGCTTATGTGCTGTCATATCCACAACCCCACAATGGATATCTGGATTAAACTCTCGCTCTAGAAGAAAAATATCATAACAGAAACAGAACACATAAGATCTAGAAAACACAGTTTAGTAGAATTTCATGTGACAAATAGCATAAATATACAGTAGCACCAGTGACTATTATTAGCATTTACCTTGTCTCTTGTACAAGGGTCTTCTGCTACTGGCACTGCTGCTGTCCGTTTTCTTGTCTTGGGACGAAAGGTGGCCCTTTCCATTAGGGATCTGACCAGGGGCCAGCAGAGGAGCCTTTGGTATGGAGGGGAAGTTAAGGCCTGACTTCAGGGGGGAGGTGCTCACAGTATTGGAGGAAGAGGAGGTGGAGGTGGAAGAAGAGGCGGGCACGTGGGGGAGCTTGGCTGAAGATTCCACCTTCAGAGGGACCTTCTCTACTTTAACAGCAAGAATTGGGCTGGGAGGTAGAGAAATAAAGAAAGCCTTATATTGTACCAAAGGTGGGTGTGTTTCATATTTCATCTATTGTGTGCTTATCTTAACGAATTTATCCACTAAATTCACTTACACTCCATCAAAACACACACATACCTCTCTTCTTGCAGCATCCTATAGGAGAAGTGAGGCTTCCGGTGAGGAGGCTTCTCTTTGGTTGGTTTGTAGATTTTAGTGGGGACACTGCTGTTTGTGCTGGAGGTGCGTGCCAGTGTGCTTCCACTGACGGTCCCGCCCCCAACTCCGCCCCCAACACTGCCCTTATTTCGAGAAATTGCAAATGCAGCAGGGGCGGGATAGCTGGATGGGGGCTTGCTGCTGGAGCTGTGTCTTCTCTCTGAGGGGCGAGACATTTGAAATATTTTACTCTTTTATTGCTCAACATGTTAAAGGCAAAAATGTAAGTAAATAAAAATGTAAAGGCCCGTTTACACCAAGGACGATAACTATAAATATAACCACAAAAATTTAGTTCTAAAAACCTTCTCAATATTAAAGAATAGCAGTGAACGATAATGGCACAGAGAAACTGTTGAATGAGAAAAACAGACAGCCAATCAGAATCCATCCTGCTGTAATGAGCTCAAGCATTTAAAGTGACAGACATGCATGCACTTCGAATAAACAGAATATCATCCGCTGGTGTGTGGACGCAAATACATTTATCTTTATAGTTTTAGTTCTTGGTGTGAACAGGCCTTAAAGAGCACCTATCATGGATTTTTGAAAATGGCTGTTCATATGGTGTGGAATATAGCTCTAAGGGAATGAAAACATCCTGCAAAGATTTATGTCTGAAAGTGCACCGTATATAAAGTTATTGTCTTTCAAAAGTGAGAGTCGACTCTGAGTGTATGAAATGAATTGTTTTTGAAACGAGTCATTAGCTGTTACATCGTGACGTAGAGAGGTCATTGGCCGCTCCCAAAAACTGCGCGCGCAGACGGAAGTGTAAACTTGAAGTGACGTCTAGAACATATTCAAATACTTCAGCTGAATCGCATCAAGTCGAGAAGACGCTGTGTTCTACATTGCAAAGACAGTTCAGCCACTTGTTACCACTGTCCAGGGACGAGCATGTGAGGAATCAGTGGTCAGAGTTCATATTTGCAACGCCCGAACCTTGTGTTCTCATCAATTTAATGACGAATCATTCAAAATTCAAAAACCTAAATGAATTCAAATGTGGATTCGCATTTCGCAAGTCGGTTGTTCCTGAAGGAGGGCTCAGTATCCAGTGTATATGGATCAGGTTCGTTCGAATCACAATCTGTAAGTAATATTAATAATGTTTGCTGTTATGTTTTCTGTAGCATGCACACTATAGTTATATTGTGTTGTGTACACTCCGCGCAGCTTCTAAGCGGGGTAAAGTTAGTTTTGTTTTTGATATTCACCAGACATTCTTTGAAAAATGGTAATTACCTCCAAATCTGACTTCACTCTATATAATAAGCACTGTCCCTCAAAAGCCGCCACAATGTGAGTTTCGCCGGGAAAAGCGCGAGTAAGGGACCGTGTGGAAAGTGCACTTTTTCTGACACGTTTGTTCAAACACTATATACAATTTTCAACACTTGACAAGCTATAATCCTGGTTATGGGCGTTCCGTTGCCGACAGTCTCTGCCTACGTTTTACCAATAACGACTGACTGGGTCATTTGACCAATCGCCGCAGATTCGCGTCACTCAAAGGAGGTGTTTGGGAAAATGAATCGTCGAACAAATTATTTGGGAGTCGTTGAGCAAATCAGTTAAAAATAAATGCATATTATAAGACAAATAAAGTGTTTTTTATCTTTGTATGCATGTTAAACTGTTTTTGGGAACTGCTAAAACAAAAATAGGAACATTCAAATGCTATGATAGGGGCTCTTTAAGATGTCCAGTAAGGTAATGGTAGATTTGAACAGTCCAGTATTATTGACATTTAGTGGCATTTTTATGTTTAAAGCTGGTGGGTTGTAAAAGTTAATATTTATAAAATTATAATATAATTATCAAAAACTAAAAATATTATTTTTAATAGTTATTTGTAATGAAAATGTTTTTTTTTTCTATCCAGTTTTTCTCAATATCACAAACCGGTATACATTTTATGCATTCTATGTTGCTAGTGTCACAAAAATTATGAACTTACTAAGTTTTTAAGTTTAAGTAGCAAAGACTGAAGAAACCACAAAAAACCAAAGAAAAAACCTTTGAACCAAAAAAAAAATGTGCAAGAGGAATGAGCTGCTGTGCTGCACTAACAAACGTTTCGGTCTCTCCACACTTGCCTGTCAAAAATACAGTCCTGCTGCTCTGGCCCATTGTTTATCACTAAGCCCTCCAGCAAACCGGGGCAAACACAGACACACTTTAGTCTGATGTCTCGCCAGTGTTTATCTGTGCTGATAAAACTACAGCAAAGGCACAAAAAACAGAATAAATAAAAGGAGGACACCAGGAAGAAATCCTTGACTTATTTATATCTCACAGAGGCTTGTGGCTTCATGCCGGGTTGTTGACGCTGCTCCGGGGAAAGTGAGCCAACATCAATTTGAGTAACCAAAGGCCAAATCGACAAAGCCCCAATTAGACCACAACAGTCTGTCATATTTTTCCCCATGCTGAAAAGCAATCTGGGACTGTTGTAAGGAAACTGTACACCAAATACTGCAACCTGACAAATGACCACAGGGAACTTCCGACATGAAAACCAAGAGCCTTGTGCAAATGTAGGATGGTCAGTGTAGACAAAGGCAGAGTATTGAAATGTACCATTTTTCATTTTACTTTGAAAATAGAAATGGAGTACAATTTAAGAAGCCATCAGCCTTTCAAAACTTCTAGAGCTGTAATAATCTATAAAATGAATTGACAAAAATCAATAAAAATAAATGCCCCGATACCAAAAACTGATACCACGCACTGTGTACAGTACAATGCTTCTGATAAAGAAACATGTTGAAGAAATAAAATATTTACACCTAGCTGGTGTGTGCGAGCTGATAAACGGAACAAAGTGGATTGAATGCTCAGCGAAACAGACGCTTGTGAGCTTGTCGAGCTCACGGATGCTTGAAACGAAAGTCTGTAGTTTGGTCGGATATGTCAGTAGCAAACAAGGTAAAACACATTACTAACGTCATGTAAAGAGAGAGAGGGAGCACGTGCACATTCCTCAACATCAACATCATCTATGCAGCTGACAAGGACTCAGAAAAAAGTAGTTTATATTAACAAATTATTCAAATATTCTGTTTTTTCTGACATGTTCATAATCATAACTTTTACTAGTGCACTGCAACAAGTTTTATGCATGTGCTTGTGTGCTTAATACATTTTTTTAAATGCTCATTACTATGGTTTAGTATTTCTCTGTAATGTAGAACAATATAATCTTTTTTATCTCAGCCCAGAAACTGAAACAGTTTTACAGATGGCATTGCCAACCCTCAGCCCCAGAGTATCCACAAATACATAATGCTGTGAAAATGAATTTCAGGACAGGAAACGTTTGAGTTCATAGTAAACAGATGAATGTTGAGGAGGATGCAAATGTATTTCTTGTTAATAAAGGGGCTAAATGAAAGAATTTACATCCATTAACCACTTATTGTACTGGCAATGAATCTTAAGAAAACAAAAGTTTTTCCAAAATATCCTCTTTTGAGACAGAATTTTCATTTTTGGCTGAAGTATTATTAACTATTAAAGGCAAGCTGCTGTACAGTATTAATCGTGAAAAAAAATAAATAAAAAAATAAAAAAACAGTGAGCGTCCATTTCAGCGATTCAATGTGTTCATGTTCCTCACGGGTGTGTCTGACCTTGACTGAACAGAACAAATTAACTGGAGATTTCCTCGTCAAAGAAGCACACCTCCCTATTATTGAATCGCCACAGACCAATGGTAGTTTGAAGGCGTTTACTCAGCCTCTAGACTGATTTTTTTATGTAAAGGATTTGGGCCGGTATCGCAGGCAAAATCCAAAGGACGAGCATTTCCAAGTGCACAACACATGGCACCTTGAAGCAGAAGGGTTACAGAAGCAGCAGAAGACACACTGGGTGCCGCTCCAGTCAGTTAAGAACAGGAAAGGCAGGCTACAATTCGCAAGGGCTCACCAAAATTGGACAATAGAAGGCTGGAATAAAGTTGCCTGGGGCCCTTTCTTCATACAAGGATTACTCAATTAGATTTTACTGTTGACAATTTGACATGATCCTGGATTGCTAGGTCCTTCAAAGCTCATCCTGGAGTTGCTTTCATAGCAACAAGTCTGTAGTTCAAACATACTCAGGAACAGGCTTTTTTTCCCACATAAACAGGATTAGATTGCATTGTTTTAAAAGTGAAAGTCTGTCCAAGCCATTGCTACTTTCTTACAAGATTACCGATTTGGACCAGGGAAATTAATAATTAAAATTCGAAATGGAAATGTTTTATATACATAATAACAATTATTAGAAAATAATTACAAAATTGTGTTGCCAATAATAGACAGAGCCAATTTCTTTACTCATTGAGAGATTTATCTCATAATTTTACTGGAGCCTTACACACTGTTGGTATGAACCATGAATTATTTGAACAGTGACAGCTATTATGCGGGAAGCTTGATGCAGTGAGATGTAGATAACTTAAATAATAACAGTAAAAAATTGCATTCTGGTGTGCCATTAGAAATATTATTTTGTAATATATCAAATGTAAAACTAAATGAATTGCTAATTACTATAGGCTACTCCTGACACTAAAAAAAGTGTAAACCTGTACAAATACTAGACATTGTGAAAAATGCAAATTATTAGGTAATCGTGTAACAAACAAACAAATTTAATCTATCTATTAGCAAGAACATTTGTGTAATTTTGCCTGCTTGGCTGTTTCCAGTTTTAATTATATATCGGGATTACGTAGTTGTCATGTAGTCAGCCAATCGCTGCAATGCTGATTATGGTTTCGAGTATCAATACATCTGCCCTTTCCAATGAACACACAGTAATATCAGACAACTTAATAATGCAGATATTTTAATCAAAACCAATTAGCCAGAGATCAATTATCACGATTAGACTATCTGGAATCTGTCAAATCATCTCTGATGCATTAAGCGAGGTACGAAGAAGAGTCTCAAATTCGGCTGAAACATTCAGATTTTGCTGCTGAAAGTCAGAATTTGGCAAAAAAAAAAAAAAAAAGAAAAAAAAAAAGAAGCATGATCTATCCTGCCTTTAATCAACAATTCATGCTGCTGGTGGTGTTGTAATGGTGTGGAGGATATTTTCTTTGGCACACTTTGGGCCCCTTAGTATCAATTGAGAATTGTTTGAACGCCACAGCCCGCCTGAGTATTGTTGCTGACTATGTCCATCCCTTTACGACCACAGTGAACCATCTTCTGTTCTGATGGCTAATGTGTCATGTCACAAAGCTCAAGTATACTGTATTCATATATATATATATATATATATATATATATATAATGACTTGAAATTCTCACTAAGGCCAACCCTTTTAACATCATTTCTAAAATGTGTTTGCATTTTTCAGATTCATATGTAGTTTGCCATACATTTTCCTTAGTACCACAGCTTGTTTCAGCTCATTATGATTTATTAATCCTCATCTCAGATAAGTACTTGCCAGAACTAGATTCTTCCCTACACTATTAGTCAAGCACTTGAGCATTTAAAAGTTTCATGGTCTGCGTAGTTAATCTGCTCATTAATCTTTCAGGCTCTAGAATAAAGTCCCAGTGTTCATAAAAAAAACCTCTCACCGCTAGAGTGAGCGATTGTGTAATGATCTCTAAAAAAAAAAAACTGCAGGAGAACTGGCTCAGTCCGAGTGCAATAAACAGATCCTATTTGAACATCAATGCAGTTCTGAAAAACTGATCTTCTGGAAGTTGAACAGAGCGTCAAGTGTACTGATGTCGACATGTAATGGCTCTCTCAAGAGTGCTGCAACTTTCACAATCTGCACAAATTCGGAGTCCTGAGACATATTTTTGGATTCAGTTATGGCTACGGGAAATCTTCCAAACAAATACGTTTTTATTTTCGGTTCTAATGGCCCGTGAACAGCTGCACTGTGTCATGAAATGTTCATGAATGTTCGTGTACACTAAGCAGACAGTTTTACAAAACCTAAACTAAAATATTCACATATGAGGAATTTGACATCCAACAAATTTATGAAAAAAATGCTATGTATGCTAAACAATTTTAAAAGAAAAAATAAACAAGAATCTTGTTTATCTTTAAAAAGAATGTTTTTCCGTCACATTATCATGTTTCATTATTAAAACCATTTTGATTATTCTGACAAATTTTGTATGTTTTGAAATGAATAGTGACAGTGATGCTAAGTAAGAAATTATGACTAAAAGATCACTGAAATAGGCCAAAAAACACTGAAATAATAAAAAAAATGCAGAAAGTAAAGGGGCAAACAAAATGGTGCTTAAAAATAAACATGCCAGCATATTACTTGAATCTGAAGAGTTTTGCATTTCATATTATATGCAAATATGCTCTGCAGACTTAGAATAACTCAGATGGACGTTGGATCAGATTAAGTAATTCACTTTACAACACAAAATATATGCAAACTATATTTTTAGTAAATAAAAAAGCAGTATTTATATATTTAAATGCTGTTCTAAAGCCTTTTGGTAAGCATTTTGCCACTGGGATTTAATGAAAATTTGTCTCCCCCTTGTGGATAATGCTGAAAAAATAAGTTCAAGTGCACCAGTTTACTACATTTACATTTACATTTATTCATCCAACTAGGGGTCAAGTTCTTGCTCAGGGACACATTGATGACTCACAGTCGATTCTAACCCGGGGATCTCACACCAAAGGTATGCGTCTTATCCACTGCGCCATCACTGCCCCCGTGTACTACAGAATCTGTTAGTGTTGTTTGAGTGAGTGCTGAGTCCGAACCCTGGTGTGCATCATACAAGCGGGCTGAGACCCATGAAAAGGTGAGTCTCTGTCCGCTTGTCCGCTTCCAAACAAACTCTGGAGCGGTTCAACTGAAATATGAACGCAACACAGACCAAAGACATCTAAACGAACCAAAAACAGGACGTGATGTCACAAACTGAGACCCTAAAAATGACAGAATGCTCAAGCATATCTGCTTTTTCTCACCATAGGAGCTACACTTCAGAGTTATCTGAAGTAAACACGTCTCCTTGCAGAAAATTTTCGTTTGTGGCCAACGGAGGAATTCCTCCGTTTAGTGCATAAAATATGGACTAAATGTATTATTTTCTGTTTTGGTACGAACCAAAAGAACAAAACTACAAGTGTGAACACACTAGTAAACAACAAATTGGCTCACCATTATTTTCATACAAGGACAATGAAAGACCTTTTGACTGGGCCAAATGTTTTCAAAATCAATAAGAATGATCAATAAAACCACTTTTAAGAAATTTTAATACATAAGAAAAAGACCCCAGCTCCCTCATTGAAGCCATCTGCAACCATTTTATTGACACCACTTTCTTGAAATTTGCAAAAATACTCAAAAGTATGTTGGATTTGCAGTGTGCTAAAATGAATAAATGATAGTGTTAAAATACTTTTAAACAGCTCAAAAATAAATAAGTAAGGGTTTTCTTCAAAACACATCAGGTGTACTGAAATGGGAGTGATTCTGATTTATTATATTCGGAGAGGTTTTACATGTGCTAGATTGGACAAAACAGCACAGAAGATGTGCCAACTAAAAAAAATACATCAAATATTAACTTGAGGATAGTATAGTAAACAAAACTCTGGCGGTGGGTATCAAAGGTGTTGTGTTTTTCCTTCTTCGTGTTATGATAGTTGAGGCAGAGCAGAGGCGGGATATTGGTCTTAATTCCCGTGAGTGAGATAAGATTTTTCTAAAACACCTCTATTGAAGACAGCAGGGAGAGTAGAGAGAGCAAGTCAACTGTGGAGAGCAGAAGGTGGTCTTACCGTAGTGTGCTTGGAAGGCCTGGGGTTTGACTACCTGACTGCAGTGGCTGCACATGACCAGGTAGAAGTCATCCTGTGCAGGACATTGGCCAAAGATGGGCATGTCTGCGAAAACACACACAAACACTCATTAGGAGGTCAAAATACCAAGTTTCATGTTCTTCAGACAAGCAAGCGATTTAAACAACGCAGTTACACATGTAGCAACCTGCATGACTCTAGAAGCTAATATTATAATTCCCCTGGTTAGGAAAACCTTACAATATACGACAAATTAATAAATATGGCTTTTCAAATCAGCTGACAGATTAATAACAACCTTTTTGTTTTTATATTGATTTTGCTTTGATGAATCAAATATAAATTGATTTGAGTAATCAAAAGATGTTTTAAGAAGTTAGTCAAATAGAGTAATAGAGACATGTAAAACTGATATTGATCTATTTATTCACTCACATTCAGAAAAATGTAAATAAATAAATGACAAATTGACAAATAAATAAACAAATAAACTGTTTATTATTGTTTAAAAATTTGAGATTACATTTTAAAAAAGCATAGAAACACAAAAAGCAAAAAGCAAATAGAAACGATTTGAAAACGCTTTATAAAAATACAGAATTTGCATTTATTTTTTGATTTTTAATACTTTTCTAATGTATTCTTCAGCAAGGATACATTAAATTGGTCAAAAGTGACTGACATTGACGACATGACTAATGATGACTGTCATTCACAGAGTAACAAATGCTTCTTTTTGAATTTTCTATTCATTTAAGAATCTTGAAAAATCTGTTTCAAAAAAAAAAAAAAAAAAAAAAAAAAAAAACTTTTGATAACACTGATAATAAGAAATGCTTCATGAGAGCAAATCAGCATATAACAATGATTTCTGAAGGATCAAGTGACCCTGAAGACTGGAGTAATGGTGATGAACTCAGCTTTGTCATCACAGGAATTAAAAGTAATGTTTTTTTACTGTATTTTCAGTCAAATAAATGCAGCCTTAGCATAAGATACTTATTCAAAAACCTTACAGATCCCACATTTTTTAATAGTAAAGTACATTTAACAACATTTTTAAATAGAGCAAGACCGATTTATCGGCAGGCCGATATTATCGGCCGATATTAGGCATTTTCCAAACTATCAGTATCGGCAGTTATAATGGCCGATAAATGAATATTTCAAAAATTAAATAAAATGGACGAGGAAAAATAAAAAGTTTCTTTTTAAAATGCATTATATTATTTTAGTTAAAACTCATAAATAACTACAAATAACTAACGTTAGGGAAACCTGTTAATGTTTTGTTGTGCGTTTCTGAAATATATTTTTTTTAAATATCGGCCGATATATCGGAATATCGGATTTTAAAACCAACAAATATTTGTATCGGTATCGGCCTTCAAAATCCTTTATCGGTCGGGCTCTATTTTTAAATTAAGTAAATATCAAAATGTGTGGGTTTTGGGTTGCATGTTCTTGTGCAGCTTTCACTTTCATTGTGGACATACAGATGACTTCCTCCTAGAATCAGGTCACTCCTGATTAGGACTCAAAGTAAAAACGAGTGTAAGGCCTCTTTGGCGTAAATGGCATGTGAAAAAAAGTGCAATAAACGCACTTTAATGAGATCGTTTGGGCTTTAACAAAGAGCAGTGGGTCCAAAATTTTAGGATGAGCAAGACAAGCTTTGATATGTTGTGTCAACGTGCGTCCACGTTCCTCTCCTATACGATGACACAATGTTTCGTCGGGCCATCTGTCCCTTTGCAGATGCGTGTCGGGGTTCCTTTTGTCATTAAACCGCAGAGACGTATGATCTGCCTGTTTACATGACAGTCGCATTGGCACATATCTGATTTATATCTGATCTATTTCCACATATGAACGAGGCCTGAAACCGATCTCGAAATATCCGAATGCATGCATTTTTTTTCCTGTTTACACTATCATAGAACACATCCGATCAGTGTCGCATAGAGTAAAAAAATCGGACAGTGTAAACGAGGCCTAAGATGCATGTAGAATCTGACCTAACCAGTGTGAATGGAGCCTGAACTGAATCTGCCATTAATTATACACACACAAAATGCCCAAGTTGACTTGTTTTCACAAAGCACACTGTTAAAAAAACAGTGTCTATCCACTACACTCTCAACGGCCTAGTTCAGGTGAGGCCACCCAGGCCATTCCGGGGCCGTTCCGGGAAAAGCATCTGGGTGGGTTCACGCAGTACAGACGGTCACTAGCAGCAGCGCTACTCTGCTTTCATAAGAAAGGAAACAAATAAGTGATAAGGGATAGCTAGGTACTGTGCCAGCGTTTCAAAGGTTGCCCGAGGAGGGGGTCCCCTGGCAAGCGAGGTGTGTGGGAGAGCCAGTGAGGAAAAGAGTAATTGAGTGGGAGAACGAGGAGAGGAAAGAAAAGGAGATTGCAGATTAAGAGTGGCAGATGTAAAGTAGTGAAATTTGCAAGGTAGAAAGATTACAGAGCAAGTGGAGGAGAGCCGTACAGTAGGTGGCATTTGGCGTTCAAGATTCATGCTTTCAGAAAGTGCCCTGAATTGACAGCAGAGATTGTGGTAAACAGTCTACCGAATCCACACAAATAACTGCCCTGAAAACAGATGAAAGCAGGTGAACAAAATATCTGTATTTTAAAAAAATTAGGAGAGAAAGAAAATGGCTTCTATTCTTAGCTATTTAGCAAGTCTTAATGTGGCCCCTACTCCAAATGCAAACTACTTGTTTCGTACACTCAGAGAAAACATCTAAAATACTTGACCTGACTTGAGGTCAACAACATGCAAATGACCATTTTCCAACAAAACAGATTGTATGCTGAACCAGGAAAAAACAACAATATTTGTTTATGGGAAAAAAGTTCAAATAATCTGTGAGATTTGAAAACGACACCAAAGCCACTGTAAATGTCATTATTCCAATATAAATAGACACACCTAAAGCTGTTTGTTTATTAATTAATTCACATTTAAACATTTTAATAATCAAAATTCAAACTGACATAAGTAAAAATGCAAAACGATTTAATAATACACTCATTTTTAATGCAAACGGACAAAGAAAAGAACATTTTAAAACTCAATATCACGTTTGTTACATTCATTTGTTGCATAACTATATTGTATATTACAGACCAAATGTGTTAATCTTTGTACAATTAAACTTCTTGAGATCCTAGCTAATTCTACAACATCAGAGATCTGGTGGTTTTAATTCAGATGCATCTCTCTTTTTTTTTTTTTTAAACGCAACAACATCAGTTATTTATGATGACGTTATAAATGGGTTTTAAATCATGACCTAGCAGCTGACATGTTGAGCCATGGTGCTAATGCAGGAGATTGGGTTTGATTTTAAAAAAAATTATAGAATAATATTAAGAAAAATTCAATAAGATCCATTTTTCACCATGTTGTTGTGTGTAGGGAACTGGGTGTAGGGAAGTCTTTACATTGTGAATGTGTGTGTGAAACATGGCTTAGCAGTTCACATGATGAGCCTTGGAGCTCATGCAAGAGAAGTGGGTTAAAATTCTAGCTTTTCAAACTATTAATTAAGCATGCTACAATATCAGATTTTACCATGGCGTTGAGAATGTGTTTGGAATATAAAGGCCTAGCAGTTGCACAATGAGTCTTGGTGCTAATGCAGGAGATGCAAATTTGTTTCCGGCTTGTGTCCTTTTTTGTTAAACAATCCCACGAGATCAGTTATTCTCAATGTGTTTGGGATGATGCCCATGCAGCAAATGTGGGTTTGAGTCTGACTTGCATTTTCTCCATCTCTCTCCTCAAATAACACGTCTCCGACCAACTCTCACTGGGTTAGATATCGAAACGCACTGACAATACAGCTTCACATTTAAAGGTGCTATATGTATTTTTTAGCGGCCTCTATCGCTGATGTTTCAGATTGCAACCAATTTTTACATGAGAGCTCGTGCTCTCAGCGGGCACTCGTGATACACGGCCACACTGGGACTTTCAACACACCGGAGAAAGCATCACACAACATGCTGGAAACTCATGTAAACTCCCACTGCACCATTACAATAATAGGCTACTTTTATCAGCTTGACGTTGAACTAATGCTCCATGCTCGTACCATGATAACGTTACATTTGTGGTGCTATCTAGCATTAAGCATTTCACTAAGTATTCATGTATCTTTTACAATCAGCAAAGTCAACAAAGGTGAATGTATAATATGAAAATGAAAACGATTAGTGAACTAGACTGAACAATTTCAGTGTAACAGTAAGATCGTAGGAAGTAACATTACTGTACTGAACGTGTCTGGAAATGTCTATTATAAACAATATGATAGTAGTGGGATGAGTGACGTAATACAGTAGATCTAGTACATAAAATTTAGTAATAAAATACTTTTTGTTATCCTGGAACAGTCTTTTGTATAATGTATAATATATGTTGTAGTTTACCTTTCTATTTCATTACAGTTGAACATTATTTCAGCATATCTGAAAACTTGTAATTCATCACAATAAAAACAGCGGAGGTCTCTCTATAATTCAAACGGTCTGCCGATGTTGATCCGATACATTTTTGTTTTATTTTTTATTTGTATATGGAGTTTGTGTTGGAGTGCGTGTTGTGCTGGAGGCAGGTCATTTTTTGGGTGTTATCAGACTCATGTCGTCAGCTGCAGTGCCGTCACATAGACTGGATATAAAAAGGAGAGAGGCTCGGGAGCGCACATGCACGTCACATCCGATGGATTTCACAGAAAATCCGACCTGGAGACTTCACATAAAAATAGGAATACTATACTGGCCTTCAGAGGTAATAGCAAAACCTGACAAGTGGATCATTGTAATATGCGATTACAACCCCTTCACACACAAGCAATAAAAAAAGGATTCATTTTAGAAGAAAAGTTACATATTGCACCTTTAACTTGCAACACTTTTTGTTAAGACTTTATAAACATAAACCAAAGGGGTAAACGAACAGCATTATATTCAGAAGTGTTTTGTCAGCTGAAGATGTGGAGCTAAGAGAGGCACTAACTGTCCATTAGTCTGAGAGCCAAGAGGTTAATTAGTGTGAGTGATTA